TGTGGAGTGAGGCTGTATATAATATATATGTAATATGTGTGTGTGGAGTGAGGCTGTGAGTGTGTGCAGGAGGCTGTGTGTGTGTGTGTGTGTGTGTGTGCAGGAGGCTGTGTGTGCGAGTGTGTGTGTGGAGTGAGGCTGTGTGTGTGTGTGAGGCTGTGTGTGTGTGTGTGTGTGGAGTGAGGCTGTGTGTGTATGTGTGTGAGGTTGTGTGTGTGTGAGCGAGTGAGGCTGTGTGTGTGTGTGAGCGAGTGAGGCTGTGTGTGTGTGTGTGGAGTGAGGCTGCGTGTGTGTGGGGGGGAGGGGAGGCTGTGTGTGTGGGGGACTGTGTGTGTATATGGGGGGAGGCTGTGTGTGTGTGTGAGACTATGTGTGTGGGTGGGGGGGGACTCTGTTTGTGTGTGTGGGGCTGTGGTCCTACCTTTCACACCGCCTCCACTTTGTCGCGACAAACGGCTTATCCTCCAGCCCCTGCACTGTCTCGTGTGTTGGTCCTCAGGGCTCTGTCCTCGGTCGTCTCCTCTTCATCTTCTACATAATAATAATCCCTCCAAAACCAAAAACAATAATAAATTGGTCATTTTCAATCTACGACTATTTGTGGGACATTGCTGTGCGCAATTGGCTGCCGCGTTCTCCCACAAATATACAGTCAATTCACTTTACAGTGTGAAGCGCTTTGGGACGTCCTCCTGACATGAAAAGCGCTATATCAAATGCAAGGATTATTATTATTATTATTATTATTACATGCTCCATCTTGGTGACATCATCCGCAGACATAGGGTAAATTTCCACATGTATGGGGATGACACACCACTCTATCTCTCTGCATCCACCCTCAACTCCAGGACTACTGGTGTCCTCCTGACCTCAAGTCCTGGATGAGGGCCAACTTTCTCCAACTCAACGTCAGCAAGACCGAGGTCCTCCTGATTGGCTCGCGCCAGCGCCTCCGCACCTCGGGCGCTGGCAGCATCAGCCTCCACGGCTGCACACTCAACCTCACTAAGCCAGTCAGGAACCTGGGTATCTTGTTTGACCCTGAACTGTCCTTTCTCCTCCACATCCGCGCCATGACCGGCACTGCCTACCACCACCTCCGCAACATTGCCAGACTCCGTCACTGCCTCACCCCTCAGGCTGCCGAAACCCTCACCCACGCATTCGTCACATCAAGGCTCGATTACGGGAACTCCCTCCTCATCGGCATTCCCAACTCTTCCCTTCACAAACTGCAGATCATCCAAACCTCTGCAGCTCGTGTACTCTCATGCACCAGGTTCCATGACTCCATCACTCCCACCCTCACCCGACTCCACTGGTCCCCCATCCCTCAGAGGATCGAGTTCAAGATCCTCGGCATCACCTTTAAGGCCATCCATGGCCTTACTCCCTCCTACCTCTCTGACCTGCTGACTCCTAACAACCTGTCCGCTCCCTCCATTCATCGGGCTCCGGTCTGCTCCATGTCTCCCGCCCGACCATCGGTGGCCGGGCTTTCAGCCTCTCTGCCCCCACACTCTGGAACTCCACCCCACGGTCCCTTCCCCTCGGTTCCTCCCTTGCCTCCTTCAAGGCCGGTCTCAAGACTCTTCTCTTCGATCGTGCCTTTGGTCTCCCTCCCACCCCTCTGCCTTCCCTCACCTCTACACCACCCCTTCCCCATGTGCGGGACCCGACACCTGACTGTTCAGCGCTTTGGGACGTCCTCCCAACGTGAAAGGCGCTCTATAAATGTAATTTTGTTGTTGCTGTGTGTTTGTGGGGGGGGGGAGGCTGTGTGGGGCTTATGTGTGTGTGTGTGTGAGGCTGTAGGTGTGTGGGGGGGGGGAGGCTGTGTGTGGGGCTGTATGTGTGAGGGGCTGCGTGTGTGTGAGTGGCTGTATGTGTGTATGTGAGTGGCTGTATGTGTGTGTGTGTGTATGTGTGTGTGAGTGGCTGTATGTGTGTGTGTGAGGGGCTGTATGTGTGTGTGTGAGGGGTTGTGTGTGTGTGTGTGTGTGAGGGGCTGTATGTGTGTGAGTGGCTGTATGTGTGTATGTGAGTGGCTGTATGTGTGTGTGAGAGGGGCTGTGTGTGTGTATGTGAGTGGCTGTATGTGTGTGTGTGAGGGGCTGTATGTGTCTATGTGTGTGTGTGTGAGGGGTTGTGTTTGTGTGTGTGTGTGTGTGTGTGGTGAGGGGCTGAGTGTGTGTGAGTGGCTGTATGTGTGTATGTGAGTAGCTGTATGTGTGTGTGTGAGGGGCTGTGTGTGTGTGTGTGAGGGGCTGTGTGTGTGTGTGTGTGTGTGTGAGGGGCTGTGTGTATGTGTGTGTGAGGGGCTGTGTGTGTGTGTGCGTGTGAGGGGCTGTGTGTGTGAGGGGCTGTGTGTGTGTGTGAGGGGCTGTGCGTGTGAGTGTGTGTGTGTGTGTCTGTGTGTGGGGGGGGGGGTGCTGTGTGTGTGTGTGTGTGGGGGGGGGGGTGTGTGTGTGGGGGGGGTGCTGTGTGTGTGGGTGGGAGGTGCTGTGTGTGTGTGGTTGGGGGGGAGGTGCTGCGTGTGTGTGTGTGTGGGGGGGGGGGGTTGTGTGTGTGTGGGGGGGGCTGTATGTGTGTGTGTGTGTGTGAGGGGCTGTATGTGTGTGTGTGACGAGCTGTGTGTGTGGGGTTGTATGTGAGTGTGTGTGAGGGGCTGTGTGTGTGTATGTGAGTGGCTGTATGTGTGTGTGTGAGGGGCTGTGTGTGTGTTTCTGTGTGAGAAGCTGTATGTGTGTGTGTGTGTGTGACGAGCTGTGTGTGTGGGGTTGTATGTGAGTGTGTGTGAGGGGCTGTGTATGTGTGTGTGAGGGGCTGTGTGTGTGTGTGTGTGTGAGTGTGAGGGGCTGTGTGTGTGTGTGTGAGGGGCTGTGTGTGTGTGTGTGAGGGGCTGTGTGTGTGTGTGGGGGGCGGGGGGCTGTGTGTGTGTGTGGGGGGGTGCTGTGTGGGGGGGGGGGCTGTGTGTGTGTGGGGGGGTGCTGTGTGGGGGGGGGGCTGTGTGGGGGGGGTGCTGTGTGGGGGGGGGGCTGTGTGGGGGGGGGCTGTGTGTGTGGGGGGGGCTGTGTGGGGGGGGGTGCTGTGTGGGGGGGGCTGTGTGGGGGGGGGCTGTGTGTGTGGGGGGGGGCTGTGTGGGGGGGGGGGGGGGCTGTGTGTGTGGGGGGGGCTGTGTGGGGGCTGTGGGGGGTCTGTGTGTGTGTGGGGTGATGGGGGCTGTGTGTGTGTGGGGGGGCTGTGTGTGTGGGGGGGGGGCTGTGTGTGGGGGGGGGGCTGTGTGTGTGTGTGGGGGGGGTGCTGTGTGTGTGTGGGGGGGGCTGTGTGTGTGTGTGGGGGGGGCTGTGTGTGTGGGGGGGGGGCTGTGTGTGTGTGGGGGGGGGCTGGTGTGTGTGGGGGGGGCTGTGTGTGTGTGGGGGGGGGGCTGTGTGTGTGTGTGGGGGGGGGGCTGTGTGTGGGTGGGGGGCTGTGTGTGTGGGGGGGCTGTGTGTGTGTGTGGGGGGGGGGGGCTGTGTGGGGGGGCTGGGGGGGGCTGTGTGTGTGTGGGGGGGCTGTGTGTGTGGTGGGGGGGGGCTGTGTGTGTGTGGGGGGGGGCTGTGTGTGGGGGGGGCTGTGTGTGGGGGGGCTGTGTGTGTGTGGTGGGGGGGGGCTGTGTGTGGGGGGGGGGGGCTGTGTGTGTGTGTGGGGGGGGTGCTGTGTGTGTGTGGGGGGGGGGTGCTGTGTTGTGTGTGGGGGGGGGCTGTGTGTGTGGGGGGGGGGTGCTGTGTGGGGGGGGGCGCTGTGTGTGTGTGTGTGGGGGGGGGTGCTGTGTGTGTGGGGGGGGGCGCTGTGTGTGTGTGTGTGTGGGGGGGGTGCTGTGTGTGGGGGGGGGGCTGTGTGTGTGTGGGGGGGGGTGCTGTGTGGGGGGGGGCTGTGTGTGGGGGGGCTGTGTGTGGGGGGGGGCTGTGTGGGGGGGGGGCTGTGTTGGGGGGGGGCTGTGTGGGGGGGGGGGTGTGTGGGGGGGGGGGGGGCTGTGGGGGGGGGGGGGGGGCTGTGTGTGGGGGGGGGGGGGGGGGGCTGGTCAGGCGGTGACACAGCCCCTCCTCTGTGAGTATTACATTAGTTGTCGGCGCTGCCCCACTCGGTGTCTGTCACTCGCTCTCACTGCACTGTTCGGGGCGACAGGAGAGGATCGCGTGAAACAGCAGCTCAGCCCCGACTGCGGGGAGAGAGGGAGAGGGAGTGTCAGTGTCAGGGCTGTGCTGTGTTACAGGGGCTGTGCTGTGTCAGGGCTGTGCTGTGTCAGTGTCACAGGGGCTGTGCTGTGTCAGGGCTGTGCTGTGTCAGTGTCAGTGCTGTGTCAGTGTCAGGGCTGTGCTGTGTCAGTGTCAGGGCTGTGCTGTGTCAGTGTCAGTGTCAGGGCTGTGCTGTGTTAGTGCTGTGTTAGTGTCAGTGTCAGGGCTGTGCTGTGTTAGTGCTGTGTTAGTGTCAGTGTCAGGGCTGTGCTGTGTTAGTGCTGTGTTAGTGTCAGTGCTGTGTTAGTGTCAGGGCTGGCTGTGCTGTGTCAGTGTCAGTGTCAGGGCTGGCTGTGTTAGTGCTGTGCTGTGTCAGTGTCAGTGTCAGGGCTGTCTGTGTTAGTGCTTGTGTCAGTGTCAGTGCTGTGTCAGTGTCAGGGCTGTGCTGTGTCAGTGTCAGTGCTGTGTCAGTGTCAGTGTCAGGGCTGTGCTGTGTCAGTGTCAGTGCTGTGTCAGTGTCAGTGCTGTGTCAGTGTCAGTGTCAGGGCTGTGCTGTGTTAGTGCTGTGTTAGTGTCAGTGCTGTGTTAGTGTCAGTGCTGTGCTGTGTCAGTGTCAGTGCTGTGCTGTGTCAGTGTCAGTGCTGTGCTGTGTCAGTGCTGTGCTGTGCTGTGCTGTGCTGTGTCAGTGTCAGTGCTGTGTCAGTGTCAGTGCTGTGCTGTGTCAGTGTCAGTGCTGTGCTGTGTCAGTGTCAGTGCTGTGCTGTGTTAGTGTCAGTGTCAGGGCTGTGCTGTGCTGTGTCAGGGCTGGTGGTGGTGGTGGTGGTGCAGACATGACTGTGAGCCTTCTCCTCCTGAGCTGCTCTCTGCTCTGGGGGTCCTCTGCCTGGAGTGGGGTCTCCATGGCCGCCGACAACACGGGGACGGACTCGCTCCCCGACACCATCCCCTTCGAGTATCACCGCTACCCGGAGCTGCGGGAGGCGCTGGTCGGTGTGTGGCTGCAGTGTCCGAGCATCAGCCGCATCTACACGGTGGGCAGGAGCTTCGAGGGGCGAGAGCTGCTGGTCATCGAGATGTCAGACCAGCCGGGCAGCCACCAAGCAGGTACAGCACGGCAGCCCCTCCCTGCCTGCCTCCCTCACTGCCTCACTGCCTGCCTCACTGCCTGCCTCACTGCCTCACTCCCTCACTCCCTCACTGCCTCACTGCCTCCCTCACTGCCTCACTGCCTGCCTCACTCACTGCCTCACTGCCTCCCTCACTGCCTCACTGCCTCACTGCCTCACTCCCTGCCTCACTCCCTGCCTCCCTCCCTCCCTGCCTCCCTCCCTCACTGCCTCCCTCCCTCACTGCCTCCCTCCCTCACTGCCTCACTCCCTGACTCACTGCCTCACTCCCTCACTGCCTCACTGCCTCACTCCCTGCCTCACTCCCTGCCTCACTCACTGCCTCACTCCCTGCCTCACTGACTCACTCCCTGCCTCACTCCCTCACTGCCTCACTCCCTCACTCCCTGCCTCACTCCCTGCCTCACTGCCTCCCTCACTGCCTCACTCCCTGCCTCACTCCCTGCCTCCCTCACTGCCTCACTCCCTGCCTCACTCCCTGCCTCACTCCCTCACTGCCTCAATCCCTCACTGCCTCACTCCCTCACTGCCTCACTCACTCCCTCACTCCCTGCCTCACTCCCTCACTGCCTCACTCCCTCACTGCCTCACTCCCTGCCTCACTACCTCACTGCCTCACTGCCTCACTCCCTGCCTCACTGACTCACTCCCTGCCTCACTCCCTCACTGCCTCACTCCCTCACTGCCTCACTCCCTGCCTCACTGCCTCACTCCCTGCCTCACTCCCTGCCTCACTGCCTCCCTCACTGCCTCGCTGCCTCCCTCACTCCCTGCCTCCCTCACTGCCTCACTCCCTGCCTCACTGCCTCACTCCCTGCCTCACTCCCTGCCTCACTCCCTCACTGCCTCAATCCCTCACTGCCTCACTCCCTCACTGCCTCACTCACTCACTCCCTCCCTCACTGCCTCCCTCCCTCCCTCACTGCCTCCCTCCCTCCCTCTGCCTCCCTCCCTCCCTCTGTCTCCCTCCCTCTGCCTCCCTCCCTCCCTCACTCACTACCTCCCTCACTCATTCACTGACTCGCCCACTCCCTCCCTCACTTATTCACTCACTCACTTTGCTGCTGGTGATGGAGAGAAAGGATGGCAGTGAAGCATTGCCCACCCCCACACTCACACACTTCCTGGTCCAAATTCCCAATTTTTTTCTTCCCCAAGAGCAGCCCCATTAAACCTGGCTGTCGATCAACCAAACCAGGCCACTTACTGGATAAATGCAACCCCTGTGTTGATTTCATGGGTTAAAATGCAGATCGATGGAATACATTGCAAATCGCTTGACTGTCCAGCGCCTGTGGACGTCGTTCCGACGTGAAATGTGCCATAGACATGTAATTTGTTGTTGTTAAATGCCGATCAAGCCACAGGAGAAGATGGTGAAAATCATATTTCAGCCGCTGTTTCTTCCCATTGTTTTTTTTTCAGCGGTTTCTCCAGAGAACAGTTCCTCCTCACAGCTCACATTTGCAGCCGCAAATGCCCACTCGTCATGTTTACATTACAAATGTGTTTATTTGACAAAAAATAGAGCGATTGTAAATATTTACTGGGAATGTTTTACATCATTGTTCTTCCTGGGGTTTAAACATTAACATCAACAGATACCACAGCCCTGTCTGGCAATGGTTGATAAGGTTGTACCAAGCGGCTTCCATGTGTTTTCTAATCCTACAATGATAATAATAATAATAATAATAATAATAATAATAATACAGGGGCAGAAAACCATTGGGTTTGACTAATGTTACATATATCAGCAGTGCAGTCCTTGCACACCGCTGCTGTCTTGTCTGGGTCTGGTGTAACCTGCATCCATTAGCAGTGTAGCACTGTGCTCTTGTCTGTACACATCGCTCCTAACCCCCCCCCACCCCCTCACTTTGCCCCGGAGTCTACCTAACGGTGGAAACTATATTATATGATCATTCCCAACGAATTCTTTTCCAGATATCCACAGCTGACTTTGATTTGGGTTGTGGCTGTTATTTTTGCAAGGGTCCCTCCCTGTTGATTCTTCCCATGCTGATTTCTTTTCAGATCATTGTTGTTAAATGTTTCTGCATTCTTACCCCCTAACTATTTTGATATCTGTAGCCAACCACTTTGTTTTTGCGTGACGAGATTTTGCACGTAGCAAAATGTCCTCTTTGAGGAGGGAGGGAAAGAGGAAGAGGCAAATGCTCACGAGCACCATTTCATACATTATGTCCTGGTTATGAGGAAATAGCAAACTGAGGGGATATGGATTAACACTTTATATAGAACCATCTCAGTTGAACACTTTTTTAAATTCTGAACAACAGTATGCCTTATGCATTTACAATTATCATGAATAATATGTGCTGCCTCAAGCTTGAAAAGAAATGGTTATCTTAGATACACATTGAAAAAAACATGTAGCAGCATTTCCGAGGAAAGCCTAGACTCATTCAATGGGGAAAAGGCTTATCTGTACAGCTGGAAATGGAGAACAATGTAAGATGTGTGTAAAATGCCATTGAAGGTCATAGTATTGTATGGTGCAGCCTTTCACAATATCCACTCTGCCCTAGACACAGCTTAGCTTTGCAAATTATTTAATTTGTCTGTTCAGGTGGACGCTAAAGATCTGGTGCATTATTTGAAAAGCGAAGGAAGTTTCTCCTCGTCTCTTGGCCAAGAATCCCCCAGATAAAATTGGTCATTCACTTAATGGCTGTTTGTAGGACATTGCAGTGCACAAATTAACTGCAATTTTTTTGCCTGCAAAGTACATAGTCACTACACTTTACAGAATGTCCTGTAAAGAGTGTTGAGATGTCTTCCTGATGTGAAAGGCGTGATATCAAATGTCAGGATTATTATCTCACCTCTCCCCTCCCCCTTTTTCTGTTACCGGAAGAGTTATCTTCTGTTATCATTACAATCATCATCTCAGACACTTTTTGTCTCTGGCATGTTGCGTGTTTTGCTCCATTAACACCTCTTCTCCCCATTTTTGTTTCAATCCACCCCCCCTTTTGTTTTACACCACTTTTACATTTTTAACCCATCAACTAACACATTCTCTCCTTTGTCTTTTTTGTCTTCCTTGTTCTGCCTCCCCCTCTCAACTTGTCCCTAAAAACCTCTCCTCCCAACATGCCCCAACGCGAAGGGTCGTGGACCCGAAATGTTGACTCACTTTCTTTTCTCCATAGATGCTGTTTTCCCAGCTCTCTCTGTTTTTGTTTCAGATTTCCAGCATCTGCAGTGTTTTGTGTTTTGAGGATTACTATAATTAATACTAAGTTCTTTGAGATATTTTGACGTTATAAGATGCTGTATCAAATGCATGGATTATTATTTTACAATTTAACTACCGACTGTAAGATAATAATCTTGCATTTGATTTAGCGCTTTTCACGTCTTCTCGACATCTCAAAGCGCTTCACAGAATAGACTGTAAAGTGAATTGACAGTATATTTGTGGGCAATTGCGCACAGCAGTGTCCCACAAATAGTCGTGGATTGAAAATGTACATTCAATTCATAAAATAAGAACATGATCATTCCAGATTAAATTCTGAATCAGACTTCTGCGATTTAAGACTTTCTTAATTTCTTTGTATGGAAATGTCCCTAAATGATTGCATGTTTCCTCATCAAAAATAATATGGGTTTCAATAAAAAAAAATTCAGGGTTGAGGGGGGCCGTTTAGAGGAAAGGACAATCAGAAAAACAATATGTATGAAATTCAGGCTCCTTTGCTGGCGATATCTTGACATCTGTGTCTATGATCCTGTTGATTTCCCCGGAATTATGTAGCCATTACACAGGGTGCTTGTTTGAATAAAATGTGTTTGTGATATGATAAATAATGTCATATTACCTTGAGTCCAAGGGTTCATTCACATCGCTCAACACTGTGGCTGTTAACGGCACAGAAATCTGTAGCTATGTGGAAAATTCCTTTAAGAGCAGAAGCCAGAGGTACCTTTCTGGAAAAGGAAGTCTGACTTTTCAGAAATGATGAATTTTACTAATGAAGTCTGAAAAGAAACACATGGATCCTTTATTCTCCAAGCTGCGCGGTACCCATTATTATTCAATGGGGGTTGTTGTCTGCTTTACATTAATGATCTCCATAGAGGGACATTCAGCTTTGCAGTGTTGCTCGAGAAGCTAAGGAAGATGTATGTAAGGCCTCTCGGCTTGTTTAAATTGGCGTACAGAGATTAATTAGGAAGGCTTGGAGCATTTATGATGCTACATCTTGCTGATCAATACTTTTGAGTTTCTAAAAAAATGTTTCCCTGACTGCTTGCTGGTTCATGTGCTCCTGCACAAGTACTGGTGCTCAGACTGACCTTTTTCTTGCCAAGATAGAGCCTGCATTTATAATAACAATAATCTTCACATTTTATAAAGCACCACAACACATTGTCAAATGTCCCAAAATGCTTCACATGATTAAGTTAGTATCTCTGTGTTTTGTAGGTGAATATGGCAGCCAGTTTCTCCACAGCAATGTTCCACAAACACACAAATGAAATGAATGCCCAATTTTATCTGGGGGTTTGTTGACCAGGATATTTATTTAGAAATATATTTAGAAATGTGGCCTAGTACACTTGTAGTGTATGTGGGACGATGGAGATTATTTCTGTAGTATTAGTTTTAACAACCAGTCAAGGGCTTTATGATCGCAAAACCACTGGGAAACATTTGTCTAGAATTCGACAGCTCAAATATTGAAAGCCCATTCAGAAATTAATTAAAATTTTGTAAAATGTTATTGGGAATCTTAATTGCTTAAAGACTGCTAAATGCTCATTTTTAATCATATTGGAGAGATATTGTATTCATGGTACAAAGTACTGACTGTATTAGTGAAACTATTTTAGTGATACATTATTTGAGGTCTAGTTTACATATTGTGTTAATTATGTGCAAAATGCATGTGTAAAAACAGGAATTAAATGGGCCCTTTATTATGGAATAAACCACCAATGGAA